GACTGACGGTCCTCACGGACGGGGCTCGCTGAGCACAGTGGCCGCCCCCAGCTGCCCCAGGTGGACCAGCTCCTCCCGTCTGCCTGCTGCCACCACTGACCCAAGGCAGGACAGTGCGTGGTGTCTCTCCGGGACTTCCCTGCTCACCCCATTTGCTGGTGTCCCTGGCTGCGGAGGGGCAGCACCTCCAGACTCCCAAGTGCACCCAGTACTCCGGGACGGTTTCTCGTTCTTGACTCTTCGAGCTCACTGATTCCCTTCAGAGTAGCAACCATGTTTTAGGAAGTGCTCGGGAACACTGAATAATGCTTTGTAAACTAATCCATCTGCTGAAGCGCAGCCCTGGGGGCTCAGTGCCTCACAGGCAGAACTCGGGGCCCTGAGTCTGTCACTGTCTCCTCCACGAGGCCACAGCAACACTGCAGAGAAGGACCTCGGGCCAGGCTCTGGACCTGGCAGAGCCCTTGTGGGCGGATGCATCTCAGGGAGGAGGAAGAAGCCTGGGTTCGTGGGTCTGAGAGCCCGTGGACTGCAGAGTCCTGCGAACACTCTCGGACATAAGTGATGTCCCGGAGCTCAGAGTAGTCTCTCTGCACGATATGGCCCCTTTCTCCCTCCTGGGCAAATTTGCATCCTTTTAAAAATGGTCTTCACCCTGTCTGAGAGCTCACCTAGCGACTGGGTAAGCAAGCAGTCACGCACAAGGGGATTCATTTTCCATAAGCGAGTGTGTGAAAACACTCACACTTCATCAGCGGCCCCACAACCCGAACAGTGGTAAATTGACAACATAGCTTAAGACAAAACCTCGCCGGGCCGTGAGGCTTTGGCACAGGGCTGCGTCGACAGCCAGTCGGGATGTACACTGGTCGACTTCTCCGGAGATCAGGTGCTAACTCAGGTGCCACGTCACAGAACTGTTCGTGGTTGTGGCCCAGGAATCAGACTTCTGGGCAGGTCGCTCCGACAATGGATTCGAAAGGATCCAAGCGCTGTGTGGGAATGTGTTTGCAACAATTGTTATTTGTACTTTGGGACATTTGGAAACAAGCTAACAGGAACGGCCCCTTGCGTGGGTGCCATAGTCCAAAGACAGCTCGGACCCACATAGGTCACGTCCTTTGGCGTTCCAGCCTCTCCGGGAGGCAGGGGCCGTCGCAGCCCCTCCCAGGGTGGAGAGACACACACCTGGAGTAGTGGAAGCCACGCAGACCGCGGCGGGGCTTCCAGAGCCCACTGGCTGAGGGTCCGGCAGGAGGGGACAGGTGAACTCTGTGGTGAAATAAATACACAGCCATGAAAGTAATTGTGAGCAATATAGCGATATTAACAACGTCTCGGCCGGCAAAGTCCAAAACTCCCGCCTCTGCCGTGATCAGCACAGAGAACTTTGCTGTCCCAACAGTTCGGGGCTGGACAGGAAAGGGACACAGGTCAAGCCATTGCAGGCGTTTCTTTTATTTTAGTGTCACCGGGTTTAGAACTCCCCGTTGCTAGGAGCTGTGTGGCATCTTTTCGCTCTTTAGTGGAATCATAATGTTTTAGGAAAAATAATCTGTATGAAACAGTCCCATGGGCTGTACTCTCTGGGAAAACTCTAATATCAAAGTGCCTGAGGGAAAAAAAAACCCAAAACAAAACAAGCCTTTTTTTTAAATTATGTATCCACAGAGGAACAAAGGCTGCTGGGGCGGGTGCTGGTAGCAGGGGCTGGTGGCAGTCGAAAGCCCCATGTCCTGGCTGTCTCATCTCAAGGACACTTGTGAAGTGAGCCTTATGCAGGCATGGGGAGGGTGCCTCCCAGGCCGACAGCAGAGGGCCGGGCTCCCAGGGGACTCGAGCTGGGGAGCTGGAGGCTCTGCCATTGTCGCAGGCCGGGATTAAGTGCCGGATTAGAGAGGGGACATTCTGTCCACCCTCTCCTGCCCGTCAGCCCCATTCACAGGGCTCTTTCCGAAACATGTCTGTGCGGGTGCCTTCCATTCATCACCCTCGCTGTGGACATGGCCACCCAGACAAAGGGACATCAGGAGGTTAATTGAAGCCAGGTAACAGGAGGGAACAAGGACGACCGGGGGCAAAGACCTACAGCGCGAAGGCCACCTCCCTGGTCCGCTCTTACCCCGCCTGTGGCTGGCACCAGCTCCTCTCTGGTGTTGACGGACGAATGGGCAGGGGAGCTTACGCTGCTGGAGGCTGAGCTCACCAGGTCTTGCTGGATGGCTCAGTCTGGCTAGTTTTCTACTTTCCCTGATCCGTTGTGTCTGGCGGCATCGTTGGCAGCCCCGTCGTGGAACTGATGTGGGTGCTGATTTCTCCCTTTCGGGAGCATCCATGTGGGACCCCCTCGGTCACCATGAGACTGAGCGAGGACTTGGGGTGACTGTAAGGGTCCCTCGGCCCTATGACCCGGTCCCCGACAGGACTGCTGAGAGGCGGGGGCAGAGCCTGGTGCGCAGGTGGCCCGGGCTCGGCTTTGCAAACCCATGACCCAAGCATCAATGTTCATCAGAATGTTCCTGTGCCTTTCTTTGTTCCATTAATTTGCTGTTTTAAGAGAGCATTTTTGTTTAGTGCTTTCAAAATAGGAGGCATTAAGTAAATTCATGTGGCAGGTTGAATAAATGAGTGACTTAGGGAATCAAGGCATGAATTCTCATGCCAAATGGCCTGGACGCTGCCACTCACTACCTGTGTGACCTTCATTTCCTCAGAGACGATGATGATGATGATGGTACTTTTCTCACAGGGCTGTTCTGAGGCTCGAAAGCATTACTATATGCAAAGCTGTTAGGTTACCATCTGTCAGAATATGTGCTACACAAGTGAGCTACGATTATTATTGTTACTTAGTTTAGCAAATAAATTCCAGAGGTAATATTAACCGTACCCCTCTCCCTAGAGTGTGAAAGAGAATAGGAACACTAGAATAGAGGGAGATAATTCTGAGTACTTCTTCGTATTGCACATCCTTAGGTATACTTCTGAAAGAAAATACTGGCATATTAAATTCAGGAGTTTATTAAAATGCAAAAATCGTAGGGATGCAAGGACAGCTTGATATTACGAAATCTGATATCTGGTATTATTTAGGTCATAGGATGAAAACCTCATAATTGTATTTTTGGCAGCTAAAAGAGCTTTCTATCAAAATTTAATAGCCTTTTTTATTTTAAAAGTTTTGATTAGGAATAGACCCCGGACACAATACATTTCCATATAAATAATATACGTATATTAATTGAAAGGCTGTCACAATGCTTAATGGTAAAATGGTTAAATCATTTTTTCCATTACCCAGAACAAGACAATACTGACCACTATGGGAGCTATTGTTTAATATTATTATGGAAGTGCTAGCCAATGCAATTAGACAAGAAAAACCAGAAAGATATAAATATGGGGAGTGAATTACTTGCAGAAGATATTATTTTATATCTCCAAAATTCACACAAACTCATCGAAAAGCAAGGGAACTGAACAGAGGCTGGGTCACAGAGCCAGCTGCACAAACATTGACAGGTTTCTGGTCTCGGGAGGAGACCGATTACTTCTGGTGCAACGGGCCACCTCTGCGAGGCGAGCCTGCCGCCAGCCTTGGGCGGCGGGCTGGGGCAGCGAGCATTTCTGCAGGGCGAGCCACAGTGGTGGCTTGCATGGTCCTTCATCAAGACACAGCTTTTGGTCGCTCCTGGTTCCCTGCTGGTAGGAACTCTGTTCGCCCGTTAAACGCGTGCCATGTCCCTGCAGTCACGTTGGCTCTTTGAAGCCGTCTTAATAAAGGGATCAGTCCTATTCTAGGGGGACATAAAGACCAAACCCAACGCTGCAGAGTTCACGGGGCTTCAAGCACCTGCTACCCAAGCTCAGACACCCTTCCCTGAGGTTCAGGCATTTCACACACTGTTTGCCTGGAAACAGCCACAGAGTTTCATCCATTTTCTGTGGCACTAGACCTCTCGTGCCCACAAGAAAGAAGATGGTCCATCATTGTCTGGATAGCGTAACATCGAGTGGCAGTCAAACCCAACAGGAAGCTATTTCTCAGGCCCTTAAATTTACACGAACACCCCAAATGCCAAGGATGGCTTGCTTGCTGGTCTCCTTCCATCGAGCCTGACTTCATCTGTGATCTGTGTCGCTCTCCCGGGTGAGCTCCAGCTGCAGTTCGCTTTCCCTCTAATATGTGTTTTCGGGGCTGGGGTGCTTTCAACAACATTCTGGAAGCTCTGTGAGTTATTCTTGTTTACTACCTGCGGTCAAATATGCATTTTTCAGACATGTGTCACCATTTTCGAGTGCTCACTAGCCAGGGACCGTGGAAGGTGGCAAAGGGCGCCAAGCTGGCCCGTAAATCCCCAGCCCCTAACGCCGCCCTCGCCCCTGCCCCTGCGTCAGAAGAGCCTGTGGATTACGTCTCCACGGAAAAACCAGAGGCACTCGCCTGTGTTTGTACAAAAGTTCAGTTTTAAAATTCTAATCATCTTGGGAAGCCCTAAAGATTTATTTTTAAAATCAGCTTGAAGAATCCTGATTATTTAATATGATTTTGACAAGAGACACTTGATCAACATGTAAGAGGCAAAAATAATGATAGAATATAACCCTGTTCCGTGTGTGCTTCCAAGGGAATGAGACCTAACTTAACCCTAAAAAGCCCTTTACGGAAGGCAAATCCTGCATAAACCTCAACATTTCTTAGGAGCATTAACTTAGAGTCATTAGTGTCTTTTCAGAAAGATCATTTCATTGCAGGAGCCACAAAAGTTCCTTCAAAGACAAGCTCCTTTAGTACAGCTTAAAGTGTTCAATTTAGAAAAGTTAAAAATACGTACACCTATTTGAGAGTCCATTCAATGTCTTCAATTAAAACTTTCTGGCAGATACATCTTTGATTCCCCAATTTCTACCTCCGCCTCCTCCATCAGGTTTGTGATCAACTTCGAAACACAGGACAAAAAATGTACATATACGAAAAGTACTTACCATGCCTATGTTAAATTTTGAGTTTCTTCTATTCATTTATTCAACACACGTGAACTGAAGTTCCCTGCGACCAGAGCGGCGTCCGAGAGGAGCTCACGTTCAGATGGTGTTGGGGACGGGGAACTGGTGACTTTTAGGAAACGTCTCCAGTCTCTCAGGTGCTGACTTTCTCATAAAGAAAACAAAGACAAGAGCGCTCGAGTCGGCGCCTGTGGGTGGCTGCTCTGCGCCCTCCTGGGCAGCAGACCGGTCCCGCCCCCCGACCATCGGCCCTCTGGGCATTCGCTAATGGTGCTATGACTGGCTGGTACATCCCCGCAGCCCGCCTCCCACCGGGAAGAGCATTGGCCTCGATGTCCCGGGAGCCCGCATGTCTCCGTCTTTCCCTGGTCCAGGGGCTGCATCAATCCTCCCTCATAGGGTCGGGTTAATGGGAGAGCCAGGATTAGAACCCATGTCACCGCAGTGATCTGGCAATTCCTCCACATGGCTGGACAGTAGCCATGCTCGCCATTCAGGAGGAAGACCCGAGCCCAGTGCTGTGCCTCCTCATGGACCCCTCTGGGCCTCAGTTTCCCCATATGTAAGACAAACAGACGAGGGAGTTGGACCAGATGGTCCTCGGGTCTCTCAGCCGTGCATTCCGGGACTCCAGGTGGAGCGGCCCGCCGGCCTGGTCTGCCTGGGGCTGACCCGGAGGGTCGGGGCAAAGCGGGAGCTCACTCCGAATGCAGGCAGTTTCGCAAACCTGTTTTGAATCACCTGCTGCTGCAGTTTGGGAGCTGCCACCAGCAGACATGGGGACCGTCGCAGACTTCGAGTCTCTGCCAGGCCAGCTGTGTCTGCCCCACCCCATGGCCTGGCCCTGTCGGGGACGGTCCTGAGGGAGCGGGAACGCCAGCATCTCGGCCTGCTCCTTACTGTTATTTCCTTCTATTGTCATTATTGTCACAACCAAAAGGCAGTCGCCTGCGTGGGGACAGCGAAGGGAGCTGTTTTGATTCTAGGCGGAGGCTGCACACCTTGGGGCGCGTCCCCGGTGGGGACAGGGCTCTGCCAGCCGCAGCTGAGATATCACTTACCCGCGCCGGCCTTCGGGGGCATGGCCCACTCAACATGTTTACAAGATGTGTAGCTATTAGCAACATCTTACCGCGGCGCTAATTACTGGGGAGTGTGGCTGATGAGGCCCCGCTCTAAAGAGGCCCAAATTGCATCAGTGTTTGGGTTTTAAATTGATACAAAAAAAAAAAACCAGCTCGTTATAGGTGTGTTTGCAGTCACACCTCCCCCGGCAGGCCGGTTGTTTGCTCCCCGCAGCTACGGCAGGTCCCACGGCGGCCCCAACACCAGGGCGATGAGTTCATTAAGGACGTTTAAATTGGTTCGGCTGATCCACGATTTCTGCCGAGTGATGGCACTGGTCCCACACACCAGCCTCTGTGGAGGGGGCGCTGGGTCACCAGGTCCGGCCCCTGCCTGTCCCTTGTTTGTTGGGGTCATAGGTTGGTCTTAGGTTCGAAGCTTCTCATGGAGGGGCCACTTTCCCCTCCGAGATGCCTGTGCTCCCAGCGGGACTGCGATGCCTCTTTCACGTCCATGGTGAAACCTCCCGTTTTCTTACTCAGGCCGGAGACAAGCTCTGTGGCTTATGAAGTCTCCCCATTACTTTGTGAGCTGTTTCTTCAGATAATGCCCTTGACAATTGTGAATGCAACTTCTGCTCATTGGAAGCTTTAGATGTTTAATTTGGCTCGGGAAAATAACTTGGGGTTCTGAGGTCACTAACCGGGGCACCCCCTGGATTTCATGGTCCCGGGACCTTAGGCATCGGAGGCTGTTGCCCCCCGGCAGGAAGCTGGTGAGTTTTAGCAGGTTCACGTGCGGAATGAAGGGTAAGGCAGCAGCCCCAACACACTGCATGCACCCATCAGAGGTAAACGTGAGGAAGTCAGGACAAAGCCAGAGTCTCCTAACTTCCAGGGAAAACACTATGTTTTTGTGAGACGCCCTCACCAGGGGGAGTCACAGGAGCATCGTGCCTCACTCTCAGCACCATGGAAGTGATGCCAGTGTGCACTGGGGAGCTGATGGGGCCAGTGTGTGAGACTCCTTTGGGGTACCCGACACCCCAGCAACAGCGCATCCCCTGGGGCGGGGCGGAGCGGTGGTCAGAGGGGGCAGCTAGAGAGGCTTTCACTTTTTATTTTACCCTCTCCAGAATTTTCTGGAAAAAAAAAACTATAAAATAATTGTATCTTGCTTTTCAATAATACCAATAAAAGGAGAGAGTGGGGCACAGAGAGAGAGAGAGAGAGAATGCTTTTTCAGACTATGATTCAAGATCCCCTACCTCTTTGGTTGTCTTTGCTTCTGAGCAGAACTGAAGGGGCCCCAGCCTCAGGGCTGCCCCCTAGGGGTGGGGGCAGCTGTGGAGACAGAGGTGGCAAAGGGCACACACAGACCAGAGGGTAAGCAGTGGCCCATGGCAATTTCATGTAACCTCCGCACGGCACTGGTGAAGCCCTTCCATTCTGGGGGCAACTCGGGGGGGGGGACAGTAGGAGAGGGAGTCGCAGTTGGAAGAGAGGACGGTGGCGGGCGGCCTTCAATGCGGTGGCCCACCCTAATCCCGGGGGGCTTGGTGAAGACTGCTGTCAGCTAACGATGCCTTGGGGGGCACTCGCCCTCCTCGGAAGAAAGGCCGGCCACATAAAGGCCCCTAACCCTGCCTAATGGCTTTTCTCTGGAAGTCCCGCCCTGGGCTGGTCTCTGCCTTCCATGGCATCTCCACCGCTTCTACAAACCGGAAGGTTCTGCGGGTCCTCCAGCCCTGGGGCTGGCTGGGGCCCCCCAAAGGCCCCTCCCTGTCCCCTGGTAGTTAGAGAAAATCTTTTCAGCAAGCTGCTTAACCACATGTAATCACTCCCATCTTGATTCTAAAACCCATCTCCCCTACGTTTTGCTTAAGAGAGGGGACAAAGACACATGAAAAGTTGCTCAGCATCACTGATTATCAGAAAGATGCCAACTGAAACCACAGTGAGGTATCACCTCCCACCTGTCAGAATGGCCGTCATCAATAAATCCACAAACAGCAAGTGCTGGTGAGGACGTGGGGAAAGGGGACCCTGGTGCACTGTGGGTGGGAACGCAGGCGGGGCAGCCGCCGTGGAAAACAGTGTGGAGTGTCCTCCACAGATAAAAAACAAAACTGCCTCGTGACCCAGCAATTCCACTTCTGGGAATGTATTCAAAGAAACCCAAAACACTGATTTGAAAGAATATATGCACCCCTATGTTCATTGCATCCTTGTTTAAAGTAATCTAGATTTGGAAGTGGTCATCTTACTTTTTGTGACAGGGTGGAGGGACCTGGAGAGCAATATGCTAAGTGAAATAAGCCAGTCAGAGAAAGACAAGTGCCGTATGACTTCACTTATATGTGGAATCTAATGAATAAAATAAACAAACAAAAGCTTTTAAAAAGCAAGCGAGGATGAAGAGCAGATCTCGGAGAGCACAGCACCCCCAGGGCCCCAGGAGTGGCACAGGTGTCTGTGGTCTGGTGATCTCCGCTGCCACCACTGGGTTGGGGGGGGCGGCGCAGGGAGAGACACACGGCTGATCCTGCCCCCTACTGGTGGCGCCCCCCTCACACCTCATGTCCTGGCCGCTCTCAGGAGTCGCTGTTTTGGTTTCAGGGGAGCCTCACGGTGACACCACTGCCAGCAAGGGGACCGCAGGCTGCCGTTATGGCATCCCTTTGGTGTTTAATTTGGGAAAACAAAGTGCCATAAACTGCCTCGAGGACAGCAGCCGTGGCTGATGGAGGGGGACGCACGCGCCACTACTTGGATTCCAGTCTCAGCTCGCTAATCCCGTTTTTCGCTTGGGTTGGCTTGTTTTGGGCTACCTTAAAAACAGTTATTTCTTTAATGGTCCAAGTGCCGTGAGGTCTGGAAGACTTACTGTATCCTAAAACTTATTAAATAACCGGTCTGATGCCCTCCGTTCTGGGTCATACTCTGGCCAAGCCTCCAGCATTGCCCGGTGCTTGCGTGCCATCCAGCCAAAGCCTCGGGGAGAAGGTTGGCGCAGCCCCAGGCGTGTCCTAAGCCAGCGCACCTCAAACTTTAATGTGCGATGACTCAGCACACGCAGCTCTGACTCAGCAGGCCTGGGGACCGGAGGAGACACCCATGCCCTGCGGTGCACGGGTGGGGACGGCTGGCCCGAGGACCACTTTGGGAGGAGCAGGTGCTGGAGGATGTCGGGAACACCCAACAATAACAGCCAGCAGTTGCCACCACAGACTCTGCCTGAGAAGCACTTTTTGTGTGTGCTCATTTATTTCTTCCTTATTTTCAACCCTGTGAGGGAGAAAGCATTACCTCCCTCACCTTACAGATGAGAAGCCAATGCACATCCAGGCAGACCGACTTAACTAACCAAGGACACACGACTTATATGAAGCTCCACTGAAGTTCAAAGCCAAGCCCTCGGACTGTACAGCTGACTTGGGGTTTTGTTTGTGTTTTGGTTTTGAGCCCTTACACTCTTTTCTTCTGACACAGGATCTACTCCCCTGGCCCCATTTTCCATGTGTGGGCCGGTGCTGGGCAAGCTTATGAAATTCCTGTTGGGAGTTTTAGCTTTCTCTTTCGTCATCCCTTTCCCTGAAAGATGATCTCTGCCCATCTGATCTAACTAGAATTTCTGGAGCGTGTTGAATCTAGACAACATGTGGCCCATGCAACAAGCCACTCACAGCCTCACCTGGGCCCGTGTCCCTTCCTGCTGAGTTGACACCTTGTGAAGCTGGTCGGGCGGCCTCCCCACACGGGGGCTGCAAACGAGGGAACAAACACCTGCTGGAGGTTCTGGGGTTCGGGGGCTCCCAAAGAGCTGTGTAGGCAAAGCAAGTACATTTCTCACACACCTGTTTCTCATGGGCCTTCTTGTTCATTCTACCCTTGGGCCATGGGTTACGGCACGCTTTGTTCAAATCAGTACTGTTTATATGAAAAATAGATCGGTTTGTTTTTGTTTGTTTACCGGACTTCACAAGTTACAAAAGATCAACCGCCATGTCAGCATGTAACTGGGAAAAAAGTAGACACTGTAATTAACATATAAAAACAGCTCCCATGCATCCAAAAACA